CAAGCTTGACTTTAGAAATACCTAACTGTTTTACATCATTACAAAATTAAAATCTAATTTTTTAAACAGCAGTCTTTAAAAGCAAAAGCAAAATAAAACTAAAGTAAATGCTAATATATAATTGCTTACATATGAGCACATTTATGAGTTGTGTGTATATATAATATACAGATCAATATGAAAGAAAGAAATGTGTTTTGAAAACAAAACACTGGAGAAATGGTTGATTCCAGTTTTGGGGCAGAAAATGTATAAGGTGAACCTGGAATATTTTGTCTAAGCAGAAAACAAAGGAAATTATCAAAGACCACTGGGGTCAGTCATATCAGAAGGAAGTAGGAGCCTACATGACAAGTCTCCCAATGGGCCAAAACTGTGCATTAATAATAATAACTGCTATGGACTGAAACTTATCAAATATTTGAAAAATCCAAGAGTTCATATGATACTTAAATAAACAACAACAAAAAACTCTTGGTAGTCACCATTAGAAGATACTAGAGAACTAATTTTTTATTCTGAGAACAGGTTAAAAAAAAAATCAAGTCCTTGCCTTCTCTTGCCTTCTGAGATGGCCCATACTCTATGGAATGTGCGTCTCCCTGAATAAATCTACTTTCACTCTTAAAAGAAAAAAAAAATCAAGTCCTTAATACACCTGTTATGTATAAACTCTACCTAGTATAATTAAATTGTTGATATGGGGAAAAATTTCCAGTCGATTAATGAAGAGGGAAAGAGAGAATTTACAGAAAATGTTCATCGGTGGCCACTAACTACAAAAAGGGAGCAAACAGGATAATAAGAGTCTTCTGATGGCAGTACACAACACTATAACGTATTGTTGTTGCATTTGAGTCAGATCAAGCTTCTGGATCTAACAGAGAAGACAGAGAACATGTTAAATGACACCATGGGGTTGCAATTAGTAAAATGTGAGAAACTCTTCAGGAAAAATGGCTGTTTTTTTTCCAACAAATAAACAGCAAGGAGAAAAAAGGGAAGGGACCCTAACAATTAAAAGATTTTTAATAAATAAATGAATAAGAGTTAGAGTCCTGAATTCAAATAAAACAATTGTATAAAAATAAGGTGAGGGGTAGGATAGTTAAGAATTTGAACAGAGTGGATATTTTATATCAAGGAACTCTTGTTAACTTTATGTAAGTTTAATAATGATACCTATTTTTTAAAGTCATTATCTTTTAGAAATACTTGTGTATATAAATATCACATAATGTCTAGGATTTTCTTCAGAATAATTCAGTGGACTGGGAGGAGCAAGGGAGTATGGATGAAACAGGATGGGCCATGAGCTGATCATTGTTGAAGTTAGTGATGGTAAATGCGGAGGGGCGAGGGTCTCTTCTCTCTTACAGCTACTATTCCTAAAATTATCGTTTTGTAGCTCAATTTGTAGTTCATTTACAGCTCACTAATACAAATTCTTTACTCAGTAGAATAGATGTATTCTTTAAACTTAGCATGATGAAGTTGTATTTTCCCATAAAGAAATAACATTATTAGAAATACTTAACTTTTGATGACGACCAATGCAGCTTCATAGCAAGTTAAGCATCATATCACAAAGAAAGATTGCACCTCACAGGAGTTAATGCTGGGATTAACCAACAGTTCAACGTTGGGATCTACCCATTATTTCTCCTCCACCATAACTTTAGTTCTCTCCACCCAAATGTCAGGTACTTTGCTGCCTAGGACCCTCAACTCATCTTTTGATAAATATGTAATAAACATTTGTTGAGCACCTATTACATGATAAGGGTATTTGGATCAAAGATGGTCCTGCTCTCAAGGACTTCAGTATTACGAGGGGAAAAACTGAAACAAACAACTGTGGGTGGCTGGTAATATGCGTTATGATCAAGATATGTAGCCAGGTCTACCAGAAGTCCTCAGAACAGTGCTTGGTTCTAAGCTCTCTTCTCAGGCTAGGATGGCAGGCGTGGGCTCTTGAATCTTCACAAGTGACTTAACATCGTTGAGTCTCCTCATCTCTAACATACCTGCTATGAAAAGCTAACGTACATACTTGTCCTGAGCACTGTATCTGGTACCTAAGAGGTGCTCAACTAACTCAAGTGCCCCTGTCCCTCCTTTGGTAAATATTTACAATATTGGATTGAGAACCTACAATATCAGCAGGTTCTCTCACCTGACAATAAACACTTTCAACAAACTACCTTAAATCCAAGGCACAGGATTACATAAAACAATCCTATTTCGGGGGGAGGGTATAGCTCAAGTGGGAGAGTGCATGCTTAGCATGCACCAGGTCCTGGGTTCAATCCCCAGTACCTCCTCTAAAAATAAAGAAATAAAGAAATTACCTCCCCCCTACCAAAAAAGATACTCAAAAAACAAAAACAAAAGTAAAAAAACCCAATCCTATTTGGCCAGCTATGCACATTTGTGGTCCTACAGGTTGACTTCACCGACAGGGAGCCACGCCTTCCATTCTGGTGTCTAGTCAAGTAGCTTACCTCCTCTCTCCCCATCCTTGGGCTACACTCAAGTTCACCTAGAACTCTGGGCACTTTAGATCTACAGACCAGCTCCACACTCTCCAGAACTCTCAACTCCCTACCATTCTTCATCCTTATAACTAAGTGTTAATGCATTTTTCTATATATCTATTTTAACCAAAGATTTAGGCAAAACAATATTAACTATAGCATTACTCATAGTAGCAAAGGATTGTTAACAACGCAGATACACCTACGTCACAATGCTTCCGTCATTCACCTCTCATGTCATCAGTGGGCATTTTATCATCTCAGTACCACGAGAAGGGTGAGTGCAGTATAAGACATTTTGAGAGTAAGTGTGCATACATTCACAAAACTTTTACTTAGTGTTGTTCTATTATATTTTTAGGTATTACTAATCTCCAACTGTGCCTGATTTGTAAATTAAACTTTATCATAGGTTTTTATGTCTAGGAAAAAATGTAAGGTATCTAGGGTTTGGTAATATCTGCAGTTTCAAGCATCCACTGGGGGTCTTGGAACGTATCCCCATGGCCAAGGCGGGAACCACTGAACCACAGTCCTAGCCCCTCCTGTCTCCCTTTTCCACATAAGCCATCACAGCCGGCTTGCCCCCAAGATGCCCTTGTTCTCACAACACAACCTGGTCAACCATCCCCACCTCTGCTTCTCTGACTCCTAAGGCAGGTGAGTTCAACTTTCTTAAAAAAAGAGATTCTCCCTGGAATTCTCCACTCTAGCTTGGCCACTTTAGCTCTGTGGCGTTAGACGTTTTTCTCAGCTTCTTTGGATTTAGTTCATCCATGAGCTCAATAAATACGCACTTTACATTAACATGAAATCACATTTACTCACTTTTATTCCCTCAGGACTTGCCATCACTTCCCTCTCCAAGCCTAATCCTCTCCAGCCACGCTCCAAAGCACTGAACCTTTCCACCATTCCCCTGGTGTGTAAATAATTTAATTTTCTACCTGACCTTGAGCCATCAGGATCTCCCTCCTTTTTTTTCCTAAAAGCAAAATAAAACACAACCCTCTTCTGCAGCACCTTTTAACTACTGCCTTTGCCCCTCCTATGAAACCACTTAAGTCTATCATAGTTTCTATTTCATTTCTCAACCCCTCAGTAGGTGGAGGTAAAGGAGAATACCATCTCTACCTGGGGGAACCCAGGTTGGAGAGACAAATATAAAGGCAGTTCCTGAAGCAAGAATATCTCAACTACTTTCCATGTCTGGCTGTCCAAACTTAAGTTCTCTCAACTCTAAAGATGGTGCATGGAGCTTTGCAGAGGTGGGGGCAGGGGGAAGTAGAGGCCCAAACAGTCAAGGCTGAGAAGGCAGACCTGCCTATCAATGCTATGCGATGCCTGCTAATGAGAAAACACCAATTGCTTTTCCTCTCTTCACTCCTACAGAACACTACTTTTAGGTTTTTGTCTTAGTTCCTGCCCTAGACTGTAAATCCTTCCAGGGGATAAGGCTTCACAACCAACTGTTGCTAGCAGTATTTTTAATGAAAACCATATTAGTTCCACTTCGTATTAAAACATTGGTTAAAAAAATAAAAAAAAACATGGGTAACACCAAAAAGGTTCCAAACAACGACCAATTTTGACTAACTCCAAAACCATAAGCTTCCCAGTTGCATCCCTTCAAAGGGATACAATTTGGGTTAAGAGTCTAAGAGTTTAAAAAAAAAAGATTCTAAGAGTTTATGAAAAGAAATATCCATTTTTTTTGGAGCTAGATAGACTAGATTATGTAACTTCATTAACCTGGCCTTCTCCCCAAATGAATACATATGGGTAAACACGGTTTCTCAGCGAAGTCTAGAGCAGGAGTCAGCAAACTTGCTGTAAAGTGCCAGATTGTAAACATTCCAGGCTTTGTGGGCCACTGTATCTTATCACCTGCTTTCTTTTTTTAAAAAAAACTCTCTAAAAATGTAAAAAAAGTCATATGGAATTCATGTGCCTTTCAAACACAGGCTGCAGCAGGATCTGGCCCACAGGCTGTAGCACAGAAACCCAGGTCGTGAGAATTGGGTACGAAGGCTTTTGAACCAGGCCTTCTTTATCTTTTGGTTCTCTCAGTCCTGGAACCCGACTCAAGGCACAGCATGCATGCCTGTAAACAAATACCAGAATGGGTGATAAAAGCAAGCCAGGTATTGTGAAATCGCTGTTGGTTCTCGGGTTGGCAAATGGTCAAGGAAAAGGAAACGACACTGTAAAACTTCATGAGCCTATATTTTCTACCTGGTGATGAAGCTGTCTTAGTTGATCCTGATCACAGCTATTCGCCATTCGCCACCAAGCGAGGCCCTCTTCTAAAAAGCAGGCCCTCGACCGTCAGAAACTGCAGCCAAAAGGAGACTGACTCTAGGAAAGGCAGAAACTGTCTTTTGTTTAAGTAGGAGGAAAAAATTAGGATTCAGTGCAGTAAGATTCAGTATCAAAGATTTAAAAAAAAAAAGGCAGACAAGGTAGAACACAATGTTTTATTATTAAAATAAAAAACTTTGTATAAAAGCATAACAGATCAAAAGCTCTATTTACAGTTATTGATTCAAGGTCCAATTATGCACCAAAATACTGAACGGGCACAGCTACTGGCTGCACATGCAAAGCAAAATGAATACACACACACTTAGATTCCACTTCTACCAAACGATTTGATTTATGCCAAAACAGGGGAAGGGAGAGATGACACATGAAATCTGCCCATAAGCTAGACTGGCAGAGACATTACGTTAGCCAGCTGTTGAAAGTCACCCTTCTCCAAAAAGGCACTTCTCAGAGTTATAAAAGTGCTTCAAACCCTGTGCCTAGCTTACAATTTCTTCACAAAAGCAAGAACAACAAAGACTTGTAGATGAGTATAAGCATCAATTTTCCATGCAACGTAATCAAGAATTTATTTGAAATACCTTATGTTATGAACTGAAATAAGCCTGGCAACTACAATTACACTGAAGTTTTATTCTGTGAATTCAAATCGGCCTGTTCCTGAAGCCTCCATCCCAATTCCCCAGGATGGCTTTTCTACAATGATTTCAAGTGTAGTATTGCCCACGAACCTTTGGGTCATGACCATGTGGACCAGATGCACATGATGAAACAAATCAGCAGCAACTAAGTCTCAGCAGTGACAACCTGTATAATAAGAACCATACACGGAGTATTACCAGGAGAGGCCTCCAATGTCCTATGCTCCGCTCGCCAATGATCACCTAATGTTTCCACATGGTTTTAAGACTTTTGTGCCTTGATTCTGTTAAAAATGTCAACTAGTAGGAACACTAAATCAGACCTACTGTTTCCATGTAAGCAAGTTAGATGGTTATTCTCTGGAATTCGATAGATGTAGTTAACACTACTACTGTGTTTTTAAGTGCTTGGTTTTATGGGTGGATTCCAGGGCTATTTCAACACCAATTAAATCAAACACGCTTTCATAAAATTGTCATTTAAAAGAACTCGGAAACTAAATGATGGAAGAGAACCACTGGAAATAAGAGGGGGGTGGCATGGGGTGAGAGGTGGGGAAAGAAGCAAAGGGAAACTGCAGGAGGGCAGAGTACAGCCCACACTATACCTCTGCGATGCCCAGACATGCACTCATGTCTAATGAGATTAACCTGATGTGCCTGTAAGACAGATTGATCATCAAAATTCTTAATTCAGATTTTGATCACATGACAAAATTGAAAACTTTAACAAGGAAGATTTGTGAAGTGGAAGGCAGCTAGCAGATCTTCCAAATATTATGCTTGCATTTCAAACTCTTGTTTTAGACTGAAAGAGAAAAGGGAACATGTCAGGATAGGATTTTCAGCCAAAGAATTCTCTTCTAAAAACTCCAATTCAAAATGATACATGCATGCCAACGTTCACAGCAGCACTATTTACAATAGCCAAGACATGGAAGCAACCTAAGTGTCCATTGACAGGTGATTGGATAAAGATGTAGTGTATATGCACAATGGAATACTACTCAGCCATAAAAAATAAAATGCCATTTGCAGCAACATGGATGGAACTGAAGATTGTCGTACTAAGTGAAGTAAATCAGACAGAGAAAGACAAACATCATATGATATCATGTATATATGGAATCTAAACAAATGACACAAATGAACATATTTACAGAACAACCAGACTCACAGAAATAGAAAACAAATTTACGGTTACCAAAGCAGAAAGAGGGAGGAGGATAAATTAGGAGTTTGAGATTAGCAGATAAAAACTACTATATATGTAATAGACAAACAACAAGGACATACTGTATAGCACAGGGAACTACAGTGTATCTTATAAGCCATAATGGAAAATATGAGAAAGAACATATTTATATATGTATAACTGAATCACTCTGCTGTACATCAGAAACTAACACATTATAAATCAACCATTCGTCAATTAAAAAATTTTTTTAATTATCTTGAGAGCTCAATTCACTCTTTTAAAAATGTTATGCTCAAGTGCACACATCGTAAGTGTACGCTTGAACCTCTACACACACGTACCCAGGAAGGTCATCATTACCCGGATGAAGGTGTGTTTCCAATGCTCCCAGACTCCCGATGGGCCCCTTTCCAGTCTATACCAGCACCCAGTCCCTGACTTCTACTATCTTTTTATTAAGATACAAAAATGAATGACTATAACATTTGAGTGTGGAAGGGAGAAAATCCAGCCCTACCTTTTCAAGTACGCATGGACGTTCCCAAAGCCATGGTACTTGGCTAAGTACACGAGCACCCCGGTCGCACACCGCCCATCTCGCTGCCGACAGAAGCTACAATTGCAGATCCTGCGACACGGTGGGCAGTGCCAGTTCTGAAGCAGAAGCGTAAAAAAGGCACCGTTAAACCAAACCTAACACCCCCTTACTGATCCACTCCTGTTTAACCTCTAAAGTGGAGATCATCCATTGCACTTCTGTCTTAACACAATTAATATTCATTAGCCATGTCTCACGTTCTCTTAGGAAATCCTGCAGAGAAAGTTACACAGCAATCAGCAGGGATAAATGAAGAAGTGACCTCCCCCTGGACAGCCGGGAACCGCGTACTCAGCAAGGACTCACATCCATGCAGCACCAACACTATGAATTCACCTGCCTTCCTGGGAATGAACGCCCCACAACACTAAGGACTCCACCTCTTTCTGGCCCTGTCAGCTCCGGGCTGACCTTCCAGCTCACAGGACTACCACCTGAAGCCACCTACCGGGTCTAGCAGAGCATCCCGGACTTCTTCACCGTAACGGTTCCGGAGGCAGGGACCACAGAACTGGCCTCGAACACCCCAGCACTCTGGGTTTCTGCAGTTTGTCTTGGTATCAATAGTTTTTTGGCGGCACTGATGACAAGTCGATCCCTGCAAATAAGAAGAAAACCAAAAAAAATGCATTTGTAGAGGAAAATGGCATATTTGAAGAACGTCCTTCTTTGTGGGGAGAGTCTGACATTTTCTCCTTGAATCCTATTTCACATCTATGTACACAGGTATTTGCCAGGGCAGGAAAAGTATCTCAAGCATGATTTCATTCAGTTGCCATACACAATAGCTGCTGTTATAAAAATATGAAAAGAAAAGATCTTACTATGCAAAAAAACTGTGCCCAAGTCCTTTTTATCTTTAGCGCACCACCATATCCCCATCGCCATCTATGCAGGTACACATTAATAGATGTACTTGCTGGGAGGAAGGGTATAGCTCAGTGGTAGAGCACATGCTTAGCACGCAAGGGGTCCTGGGTTCAATCCCCAGTGCCTCCATTTAAAAAAAAATAAATAGATAAATAAACTTAATTCCCCCCCCAAAAGTATGTTGAATGAGTCAATTTCTTTTTTTTTTAATTTTTGAAATGTATTTAATTTATTTGGGGGAGGGAGGTAATCAGGTTTATTTATTTATTTTTAGAGGAACTGGGGGCTTGAACTCAGGACCCTGTGTATGCTAAGCATGCACTTAACCATTTGAGCTATACCATCTCCAATTTCTAAATTAAGAGAAAAGATTTATTTAATGCTACTGAAGACTTACTAAGCAAATATTACTACTGCAAATTTGCTAAGAGGGTTAAATCGCAAGGATGTTACAGAACTGTCTCTTCCTATATACAAAAAAAAAAAACACATAGGGGCATATCCCATATGTTAAGACCGTTAGCACATTAGCAAAACATCTCCCTCACAGATGTGTCCCTCTGCAGACACCCTGCAGAGCCACTCACCAGTGACCGGTTATAGATCTTGTCTCGAGAGCTGCTGCAGATGTTTTCCAACTCTTCCTCCGTGATTTCCTCCACTGGGCGAATGATGTGGGGAAGGCTCATGGATCCGGGGCGACGACTTCGGGGCACGTCATCTTCCTGCATGACAAGAACCAGGGCACAGCGTGTTCTTACGGGCTCTCCCCAGCTCTGAATCTCAGATACTTGCTTTGTAACTTTCACAGAAAATTCAACCTGGAAATTGTCCTTAGAGCTTACAGAAGGGGCAAGTCATAAGGTTACTAAGGATCACAAGACATCAAGGAAACGACTCCTACATTTAAGAAAAGCCAAAGAGAACTTTTGATTCTGTCGCCTGCTACCAAGAACCATCGAAAAAAGGTGATGCGACATTAACAACTCTGAGCGGTTTAAGCGTTTACTATGGGTCACTGGGTGCTGAGGGATCCTGCGCCCACAGAAGAGCCAGCACAGAAGGGGAGAACTCACGTTCATGTAGCCGTCCACGGGCTTCCTCTTTCTCACCAACATGTACTTATCCTCCTCCTCCTCTTCCTCCTCCTCCTCCATGGGTAGGGCGCCAAGGGACCGAAGGACCCGGGACCTTGACCTGGTGAGAGGACGAGCTCTCCGCTCAGGGTTTCTCCTGCACGCAACACCTGGGAATGTTCGCCTCCGTGGTGTCTTTGGACGCTGGACAAAGCAGAGGATAGCTCAAGTGGCAGAGCGCATTCCGAGCATGCACAAGGCCCTGGGTTCAAACCCTAGTACCCCCTCCAAAAATAAATAAATAAACCTAATTACCTACCCACCCCACCACCCACCAAAAAACTCACAGAGGATGGCCCCATTTATTCTAGAATGAGAAGTGGCAACTTCTCCTTCAGCAGGTTTTCCTTTAAGTAAAAGGGGTGCTGCGCTTTCTAACTGTCTTCCTCCGTTCTGTAACATATGGAAAATGAGCCCAGAAACAATACAGCCATTGTCATTTTGCTTTTGTTAACACCAAGCCTGATGTCTCTCAACTGAGAGATGATCTGTTTATTCTTTTACTTAATAAAGATGTAAGAACATATCCCATGTTCCAAAAAACACACTCATTGTCTATAACGCGTAAGAGAGAAACGGATATGTGATTTTCTTTGTTCATCTCCTTGCTGGCTTCTTTCCTTTTTCCTCAGGGAGAGGTGGGGAAAGAAGTCTTTTCTTTCATACCACAGCAGACACACAAATTCCCAAGCTGCACCAGCTTAGTCCCTCAGAAAATAGTCACATTATTAGTATATGACTTGGTTAAGAAATTGTTTTTTTCTTTCTTTTTTCTCATTCTCAGATTTTAAAAACAGCAATCACCATGGAGGAGGAATGTGCCAATGCTGGAGGACACAGGAAAAATAATTTTCGATCTTTATTCCCTACCCTTGAGGAACGTAGTTTATTTGGGTGGGAAGGAGAGAACCAATCAGAAGGCGTTTGAGCCCCACAGGGCACAGGGGACCACTACCCACTAGGGGTGCAAGGAAGAGGTCTCAGAGATCTGTCAGAAGGTTTCCTCTACGTCCTCTTAAGTCTGTCTGTAAGACCACACAAAATAATGAAATTGGACATGACACATCTCCCCTAGACCTGCCCAAAACACTATACAAACAAGGATGTGCACTTACTGGACCGGGGCCTGGCAGGGAACGCCTTCCAGGAAAGCAACCAGGGAAGCTTTCTAATTCTGACATTAGTTTTGCAAGCTACAAAGGGAAGAAATTAAACAGAAATTATTGGTTTAGAATAAGTGCTGAAAACAAGCAAATTCTGGAAACCACAGCAGTACATCTCAAAGAGTTTCTGATTTCCCCTATACATTTACCAAGCCTCTAACAGACTGAGAAAAAAGAAAAGTTGGTTTAGGGAAAGAAACACATTTTAAAGCATACTTTAAGAAGACTTCAGAGCTACAGTGAAAAATAATTCTTAGGACACAGATATGAGGAACAAGGGGCTTAGAGAAAAGCTGGGAACGGTTAGTTCTAATCCACTCAAAGTCAGATACCTACCATTGCTTTGTTTTGCTTTATATTTAAAGCCCTTTTCTCCAAAAAATTCATGCCATTTTCATCTTCTGAATCAGAATTGGAATCGGTCACCAAATTCTCTGACGGTTCAGGGGCTGCTGCCCTTTTGTTGGCTGCCCCCCTAGTGCTTCGAGTTGGAAACTTCATGGCCACGCGGAGCTGTCCGGAGAGTCTGCGCTGACTGCGGGTCCTACAGCCCGCGCCGTCTGCCTGCAGCCTCTAGTCAGTCAGAACAAGTCGGGCATTAATGACTTGTTGATTGTCGCACAGGTTGCACCAGTGTGACTACAAAATCCCTTCTCAACAAAAGACACTTGCAGCAAGTACATTCTCATTGAACATTTTAATTGTCAAGCTTAACTGACAGCTCTGGGTAACAAAATCAGGAGCTACAAATAAATACAACAACCTGAGTGGCGTTTAAGTCGGGGAGCCTACCTGGGACACCTTGTTATAAGCCATCTTCACAGTCCCTAGGCCAGCGGTTCTGAGCCATTTTTCTAAATGCGAAAATCCCAGCTCCTTTTTTCATTTCTTTAAACATAGATCTATGTGTATTTTTAAAGAATTCCCACAGGGACAAATAGGTGTTCTCTCATAAACGCGATTTCTTATGGCACTATTAAACTATATTAAAGATGTCTCAAAACTCTTACTCTTTTAAAAAAAACTGTAGTAAAATATACTTAACATAAAATCTACCATTTTTAAGTGCACAGTTCAATGGTATTAAATACATTCACATTGTTCGGCAACCATCACCACCATCCATCTCCGGAACTTCCTCTTCTTCACAAACTGAAACTCTATATACGTTAAACAATTACTCCCCATTTATGTCTCCCTCAACCCCCTACAACCACCATTCTACTTTGTCTCTGTGAATTTGACTACCACACTCTGTAATCTACTTTTTTATGCCTAAAATAAAAATTTCAGATTCCGAAAGTAATACCAAAATCCGTCATCAAAATTGTATTAAAGTTAGCCATTGGGGAAATGCAAAACAGAATCACAAGGTATCACTTCATACCCACTCGAGGAACCAAATCAACAAGTCTGGCAAGGATGTGGAACCCGCATACACGCTGGAACATACACTGGAACCCTCATACACTCTGGCAGGAGTATAAAAGGGTGCAGCCACTTTGGAAAACTATCTGGCAGTTCCTCAAAAGGTTAAACATATGTATATGACTCAAATTCTACTCCTACCTATATACACAAGAGTATATGTCCACACAAAAACTGGTACATGAATACTCATGGCAGCATCATTCATAATAGCCAAAAGGTACAAACCCGAACATCCATCAACTGATGAATGGATTAATAAAATGTGGAACGTTCACACAATGGAATATTACTCAGCCATAAAAAGGTATGAAGTACGAGCACATGGAATAATCTTGAAAATATCATGCCAAGTCAAAAAAGCCAGTCACAAAAGACCACATGATGTATGATTCCATTCATATGAAATGCCCAGAATAGGCAAATCTATGATAAAAAAATAGATTGGTGGTTGCCAGGGACTGAGGGTGTTGGGAAAACATACACTGTTAGTGGGTACAGGGTTTCTGTTTGAGGTGATAAAAATATTCTAAAATTGAGTATAGTAATGATTGAAAACAAACAAAAAATGAGAGGGAAAAAAAAATATCACTCATAAAGTCCCAGAAATGGAAGACCCATTTTTTAAACATTCAAAACTTTCTTAAACCTCCACCAATTTTTAGGACTCTTCGTGTACTTTTAGTGTGCATGGATTGAAAGAATATAAAACAAGAAACTTTTATAAGTTCCTAAGCCTTTTAACTGACTGGCATTTTATCAATCACAACAACAGCATCTACAAAGAACTGAAATATCGCCCAGAAACGATTCAGGTTATAATGTTTGGGTCACAGCCAGATTTGCAGACCAGCCCGTGCCAGTAACTCCAATAAGCACCGACTGAGACCAACATCACCTCTTAGAGGAAACTTTACATTACGATGAGGTTAGACAGTGTTAAACACTCTCTGGCCAGGCGTTCTCACTTATGTCAGTGCCACTCAAGTGTGGTCCCAGGCAGTGTGGACCCGTGTCAGACCACCGTGAGCTGTAAGAGCATGCACCTGACTGCAGATCAAGTTTCTTTTGTCAAGAAAGTCTGGCTAAGAGGAAAACGTGTGCAGAAGTAAACAGCATGCTCGCGGACAATGGGAGGTGCGTCAGCGGCAGCAGTGTCCTGAGCAGGACAGAAGCTAAAGATCAGACAGCATGCACAGGAAAAGTCAACGAAGGAGCAAAAGTGGAAGCAGGCAGGGCCCTAACTGTCATTATCTGCACTCAAGCTCCTGCACTCGAGTTTATCACAGGCCTTCCAGATGCAGACACAGATCCACTATGGGAACCAACATTTACCAAAGGCCTACTCTACGTCAGGCCCTAGGCTGGACACTTGAACTTAAATGTAAACGGAGCTCATCTTGAGGACATGTGTGCTTCCTCTGATTAGGCTGGATTTCTGTGGCAACAGAAATCTGTAGGTTGGCCTATTTTATCTAACCAGTTTCCAAGATTTTCAGAGTCTACAAAAAATGTTCAAGCTTTACAAGCAGAACTACATAAAAACTGCTTTTAGACATGGGGAAAATACTATTAAGACTTTTTAAAAAAATCAACAAAATCCCCCTGCATGACTAAAATGAAAATCTTAAGGGGAAAAAAAAAAACAACACTTTCTTTTAAAGCAAGTATGTCATGCCTCTAAATGTACCTTATTTCTTGATATTGGTGAAACTCTCAAACTCACCATTCCATCTTGTATCTCACTCTCTGAGAAACCGCAAAATGATTCATCATCAGAGTCGGCATGAAAAATACTGGCCAGTTCGTTAGTGACATCTGGCCTTGGTTTCTGTAAAAATCCACAATGGTCTAACACATCTTGCACCTCACTTTCTGAAAAGCCGCAGAAAGATTCATTATCAGAGTCCTCATAAAAAACATTTGCCAGTTCTTCACTGATATCTGACCTGAATTTAGGTTTCTGTAAAATAAATAAATAAATGTGGTTGTGCATTTTTTTCCTTTTTCAAGAACCAATTTTCCATAAACCGTGCAGAGAGCAAATCACATTTACAAGTGCACTACAAGAGAATAGCTTTTGTTACGAAGAAAAACGGTTCAGAGGTTTACAAATGATTTCTGAGTTGTTATGGCAAATCATCAGGCACGTTAGGTTAGGCGACATTTCAAAAGGATAGAATAAGTAGCTAATCTACCTCCAACAATTACTACCTAGAACCACAGCAAAAAGTGAAGTGAAATTACAGTGCATACTGTATTTTCATAACGGCTGTATAGAAATGTAGGCAAAAAGCAAGCAGTTTTAATCACGCACAAAGCATTTGGGGCATTTTGAGCACTGCAGACTCCACTCTGTTTATTCTCAGGCAGCACTTACTGTGTTTGCAAAATTATCAGAAGCAAAGCTGTCACAACTGTCATCAGAGGATGACGAGGTTTCCATGGAAATCAACTTCATATATCTGAATTTCTTGAAGTTCTTTACTCTGCGGTCCTTTTGCTGCAAATGGAAAAGGCAACACTACTAAGTGGGATGCTTCCTGCAGTATCTAAGGAAAGACATCGTTTTTGAGTTTAGTAGGTTCAAACGGCACAGGAGATACGTCCATTTTTTATACCTTATACAGAAAAAGGAGGGTTTGCGTTGCTACAGAAAAATTTTCAAAACCAGGTAAAATCCTCAAGAGATCCCTTTGAAGGAATATTATAATGACATCAGTTTATTCAAATATCTATAAAGCTACCCTTTTACGCACCTTAAGAGCTCCCAAGATCTTAGCATTACATTGAGTTCCTAAGGAGTTAAAAGCTAAACCCCTAAAATCTGCCCTTAAAAAGAAAAAAAACAAAACTAGACTATAGTTTTAAAAGGAAATTTCAAAAATACAAAATGGTAGAGTGATTTCTCTCCCTCAGCCAAAATCAAGCTAATGAGGTCTTTCTGTGGCAGCTTTGGGCTATGTACTGTGATGCTAATTTCCCAAATTATGAAAACTGGGCAGCACCTCTACTTCAAGATGACAGGTTTTCAAACAGGCATTGTGCCAATCAGGAGGGGTAGGGTGATTTCAGCACAAGTCCTTACAAATCAAATATATCGACCCAGTGAACAAATGGACAAGGAGCCAAGTTAAAGGTCAAGTAGTCATCCAAACCCAGGTAGAATGCCTTATCCCACTTTTGTGTGCTCTGTTAGGCTGGCGTGACAGTCATCTCTTTCTGCAGTCCCCCTTACTACACAAGTCTTAAGTTTTTAGAAGTCCTTTCACAATGCACAAACTGCCTATAGATATGAAAATGCTTCCTTCATTCACAAACACTGACCAGCCTGACACTGCTCATCAGAGTATACAATTGGTATTTACCGCATATAAAAAAGACAGCAGTTTTCTACCATTTCTTAACACTTAATGAGATTTCTTAAATGTTCAACGTATTATAGTTCCTATATTTTTATTTTCTGAAATATGGCCATGGAATAACATAAGTGATTCCTTACACTGAAAACTTTTGAGAAGGCAAGCTCTACTATGGGTCCCACAAAATAACACCAAGATGTGAGGTGTCGGGTGAACAGAACATTCTTTTTTAAGTCAGAAAAAAAAATTAAATGGTGATACTGGGGTTGTGAACCCAGGACCTTATGCACGCTATGCACGCACTCTACCACTGAGCTATAACCTCCCCCAGAACATTCTTGTCCTTCCTTCTCCACCTAACATTATGTACTGCAGTCTCTTGCAAATAAAATTATTTTCATGTTGATGGGATCCAATCACCCAGTGCTCCTAAATAGACTCCATTCAATCATCTTTGGAAGTTTCTGTCTTTTGTCCTTTTAGAGAGGCAGGAAAACGTGGTAACAGGTAGAGTTTCTCCCCATTAAAGGGGATCTCAGAAACTCCCCATTTTCCAGGTAAGGAAGTAAAAGACTCCAGGGAGGTGAAATAGATTGACCACGATCACAGGGCCGGGGGGGGGGGGTCTGCAATCTCCTCAAACAGCACCACTCCTCGCAGCAGTCCAGGAATTATCACCATTTACTCATCAATCTACCTGCCAGCAGTCAGAGGACCCGGACAGCCTCAAGTGAGGCATTCTAGTGGAAGCTCTCAGGGAAATACTCGCTGGGCTTTTAACAAAAACGTTAGCACATGCCAAGAGGTAGTTACCAGGCAAATGTATATACGTTTGGAGGAAAAGAAAGAGAAAGAAGCAAGGCAAATGGTCATGTCTGAGATGGAACTTCTTTGGCAAGTAGGTAATAACTAATAAAATTTACTGGGTATTTTTTTGTGCCAGGCACTAAGCATGCTTTCACATTATGTTTAATTCCTTGCAACAAAGGTGCTATCATTATTTCCACTTAACAAATGGGGAAACTGAGGCTCAGAGAGGTGAAAGTGATTATTCAAGTCAGGCACCGTCAGATTCCAAGTCCAAATACAAACGGCTTTCCTCATCCCGAAAGCCCATGCCCAAGTCCATTCGGGAGGAGATTTGTCTCTGAAACCACGCCCTCATCGCGCCCTCTCTCACCCACCCCTGGAGAACCCCTGCCTCCCCACGTGGGTCCCTTACCCCTGATATTTATTTTAAGCATGTCACTCTCTTCCTTTTCACCCAACCCCCATCCTCTAACCTCTCCTGTGGCCGACCCTACACTCCGGTTTCCGTTGGAGCAAAAAGTAACGTTCCATTCAGGGTAACGTCCTGCTGCTGCGAGTGAGATCGGGGGATGGGGAGGGGAGTGGGAAACCAGCAAACGATCGGCGAACCGTTCAGAATACTAGGTCTTTCCATTGCCCTTAATCACCGCCTGGGATAGAGATGTTCCCCTAAGTGTGCGCAACCCAAGTTCTAAAGAGACAGATTTTCAAGACCTTTAAACTGCAACCCACCGACGCTCTGAGGTTAGAAGCGCCTGCCGGCGTTGCTGGAGCAAAAGCGGGCGGGTAGCGAGCCCAAGGACCCCCCACCCCCGACAGTGCGCGCAGTTGGAGAGGCGGCGAGACACCCACCCGCCCGGGGCTGCGCGCAGAAAAGGGCCGGGAGGCTGCAGGGCGGCGCTCACCTCCGCGCCCCGCAGACAGGGCTCGGCCAGCGGACACAATGAAGGACTGGGCAGCTCCTGGCTGCCCCAGCGCACGTGCATCTCGGGCGCACGTGGCCTGGGGCTCCCCCGTCTGCCAACCATCCTGCAACCCTCTCAAAAGCCTCCGGTGCACACGCCCGGCGGGGACAGTCCCTCGAGCCGAATTACCTCCAAGAGCACAAAATCTGGGGCTCGCATGAACGGGCGCCGCCCAGGACGGCATCCAGTTGATTAGGGCACTCCGCCGGCGGAGTTGGAGGGGTTCGGCCCGCGCCCAGCACCCCCCGCGCCCGCCCGCCGCTTC